GAGAATACTTTTCCCATTGCTCTGGCATATTTCAGGAGTAAACTGGGGAGTTGATGGGATGTTAAACTTTCCACCACTGTGGAGAATGTGTTTTTAGAGCCCAAGTTATAATTAAGGATAATCTCTACATAGATTATCTCCACAAATGGTAATTAGGTTCTGTAGCATCCTGCTAAATTTTTTTGAATGGAGTTTTGTGTTTTCAGATAAGTAGGGGGTTGGAGGGAGCTGTCCCTATAAATACACAGAAATACTGTCATATGCTTAAAAAAAAAGCCGTTTTGGAGCCAAATGACCTGGGGTACCCAACTACCAGTTAACCTCTCTGAACTGCAGTTTTCCCATCTACACAATGGAATGATATTTCCTTCCTGTCAGGAGTGTTGTTGAGAAATAATGTATGTAATAGATACTCAGTGTCTTAGTCCACTTTGTGCTGTTACAGCAATACCTTAGATTGGGTTTGTGTTTTTGTGGGGTTTTTTGTTTTGTTTTGTTTTGTTTGTTTTTTGGTTTTTTTGAGACAGGGTCTGGCTCTGTTGCCCAGGCTAGAGTGCAGTGGCATGATCTTGACTCACTGCAACCTCTGCATCTTTGCTTTCTGGCTCAAGCCATCCTCCCACCTCAGCCTCCTGGGTAGCTGGGACTACAGGCATGCACCACCATACCTGCTAACTTTGTATTTTTTTGTAGAGACAGGGTCTGACTTTGTTGCCCAGGCTGGACTCAAACTCCTGAGCTCAAGTGATCCACCCGCCTCAGCCTCCCAAAGTACTGGGATTACAGGGATGACCCAACATGCCTGGCCTAGATTGGGTAATTTATGAAGAACAGAGATTGGTTTCTTACACTTCTAGAAGCTGGGATGTCCAGTGCGGAGGGGCCTGCATCTGCTGAGGGCCGTCTTGCTACATCATCCTGTGGCTGAAGGTGAAAGGGCAAGGGAGGGAGAAGGAGGCCAAACTTCATCCTTTTATTAGGAACCCACTCCCAAGATAACTAGCCTACTCCAGCAATAAGACATCATTACTCATTCATGATGGCAAAGCCCTCATAACCTAGTCATCTCTTGACGTTTCCACCTCTTAACACTGTTGCATTGGGGATTATTTCTAACACATGAACTTTGGGGGACACATTCAAACCATAGCACTCAGAAAATGTTACTTCCCTTTCCAGCCACCTTTCAGATTGTTTCATGGGAAATGTTTTCAGATTTCACATAACCAGGAAAGACATGATCATTGTGTGGAAAGATTCTTAGTTGGGAACTGCTTGTATTAACATCACTCAGCCTTGGGTATATTCTTGTCCTGGAGAAACACTCTAGTATGGCACAGTTTTTCAAACTGCAAGTGGTTGTAAAATCAGTTTAGTAAATTATGACCAGCTTTTCTTTTCAATGAAATAATAAATTAGAAAATACCACATGTGGGGCCAGGCACGGTGGCTCATGCCTGTAATCACAGCACGTTGGGAGGCCAAGGAGGGCAGATCACGAGGTCAGGAAATTGAGACCATTCTGGCTAACACGGTGAAACCCTGTCTCTACTAAAAATACAAAAAAAAAATTAGCCGGGCGTAGTGGCAGGTTCCTGTAATCCCAGCTACTCAGGAGGCTGAGGCAGGAGAATGGTGTGAACCCGGGAGGTGGAGTTTGCAGTAAGTGGAGATCACACCACTGCACTCCAGCCTGGGCGACAGAGCAAGACTCAAAAAAAAAAAAACAAAAAAAAAAAACTACCACATGTGGTAAGGATATTGTTTGGTGAAACTTTTGTTTTAGGGTTACATACACATGAATGTGTATACTGCATTTGATGTAAAAATTATTCCTTACTGTGGGTTGTGGTGAAAAAAAAAAAAAAAAAATCGAGATACAAGAGGATATCTGAACCAAGACAGCAACAGGTCATCTTTGTATTCCCCTTCCCTTTTTTTCTCCCCCACCTCTTTGAGTCAGGGTCTTGCTCTATCACCCAGGCTGGAGTGCAAGTGGTACAGTCACAGCTCACTGCATCCTTGAACTCCTGGGCTCAAGCAGTCCTCCTACCTCAGCCTCCCAAGTAACTAGGACTACAGATGTGTACCACCACACCCAGCTAATTTTTTAAAATATTTTTGTAAAGATGGGGACTCGCCACATTGCCTAGGCTGGTCTTAAACTCCCGGCCTCCCAAATGCTGGGATTATAGGCATAAGCCACCATACCTGGCCTTTTATTCACATTTTAGAAAGAAAAAGATTTATTTTCTACTGCTAAGAAATACCAGGGTAAGGGGTCCAGAAGTCACTGTGTCCATAATTGGAATAACATTGAATGCTAAGGGTGTTATAAACATAGTCAAAGAAAACTAGGAACACATCATCTCTGCTTACCTGCCCAGAATTCCTTCATCCTGATGTGGTCCCTCCCCAATTTCTCAGAGGTACAGAGATATTTTTGAAGCCTTACATCTAAAACCAATAATGACAAGATTGACTTTGGAAGTCAAGCTGCCTGGGTTTGACGCTAAGATCCACTAGTTGGTGATTGTGTGGGCAAGTGTTAATCTCCCTAAGTCAATGATTTTTTTTTTTTTAAATGAGACAGAGTCTTGCTCTGTCACCCAGGCTAGAGTGCAGTGGCACTATCTCGGCTCTGCCTTCTGCGTTCAAGCAATTCTCCTGCCTCAGCCTCATGAGCAGCTGGGATTACAGGCACCCGCCACCATGCCTGATTAATTTTTGTATTTTTAATAGAGATAGGGTTTCACTATATTGGTCAGGCTGGTCTCAAACTCCTGACCTCAAGTGATCCGCCCACTTCAACCTCCCAAAGTGCTGGGATTACAGGCATGAGCCACTGTGCCTGGCCCCTAAGTCAATAATTCTTAAGTTTTTTGGTCTCAGGGCTTTTTTATATGCTAAAACTTGTTGTATAGATCATATTTGCTTTATTAGAAATTAAAAGTTTAAAAAATATTTACTAATTCATTTAAAAGTGATAACCCTTATAGGATAACATAAATAACATTTTTGTGAAAAAAATTTCAAAAATAATCATTTAGTGAGAAGAGTGGCATTGTTTCACATTTTTGCAAATCTCTAATATCCAGCATAATGGAAAAAAGCTGAATTCTCATACCTGCTTCTGTATACTGGATTCTCATCTTGTTTTAGTTGAAATATATGAAGAAAATGTGGCCTCATATTGATATGTAGTTAGAAAAGGGAGGGGTATTTTAATAGCCTTTTATGATCATTGCAGATAAGCTTTACTACTATACCAAAACTCAGCGAGTGGTGGTTTCTTAAAGGTTAGTTGCAATGTAGAATCTGATAACATGTTAGTGATCTTTTTGTACTCTGTTACATTAAAATCCTTTGGTCTTTGAATCTTTCCCTATGAACAGATCTTTCACCCATGCATGATGTTGTAACATCATGCACTGATCATTTAGAAAATATTGGTTCGCTGAGGTATGCGAATTTTCTAAATGTTACTGCAGCATTACACAACATCAGAAATATTTATTCATTAATATCCACACTGATCTCACCAGAAAAGTCTTGAGTATTGGAAAAGTGTCAAATGCCCAGTGACGGAGTTTGGATACAAGTTTTCTAAAATTCTGCTTTTCACTTGGAAGTTAAAATTTTATCCTTGGCAACAAAAACTATTTCTTGAAGCAACAGGCTGTCTCCCTTTATATTTTCAGAAAGACAAGTCTGAGCAACCCCAGTTTGTCAATTGTCCTTTGGTGTTTCATAAGAAGCGAGTTCAGCTCAAACTCAAAGCAGTGCTTTTCCTCCAGAAAAACATCATCACTGCAGTATGCAGCAGGAATGTTCTATGTGTGCTTTCCATTTCATTCCACAGAATATTAAAAAGATGTGTACTCGGCCAGGCGCGGTGGCTCACACCTGTAATCCCGGCACTTTGGGAGGCCAAGGCAGGTGGATCACCTGAGGTCAAGAGTTCAAGACCAGCCTGATCAGCATGGTAAAACCCCGTCTCTACTAAAAATACAAAAAATTAGCGGGGTGTGGTGGCAGGTGCCTGTAATCCCAGCTACTTGGGAGGGTGAGGCAGGAGAATCACTTGAACCCAGGAGGCAGAGGTTGCAGTGAGCCAAGATCACATCATTGCACTCCAGCCTGCGTGACAAGAGCAAACTCCGCCTCAAAAAAAAAAAAAAAAATTTACTCAAGGGTAAAAGTTTAATAAAATTAATACTTTTTACTAGTCATCATGACATTCTTGAGTTTTTTGTTTTTTACTGTGAGCCTGCAGCAGTGAAAAGTACAGTAACTAGCAGTACCGTTTAGGACCACTCCCTTGATCCAAACCAGAATGCTGGGCATGTTGCACACCATTGCTTTGCTCCATTGGCAAAAATGTCAACAGAGTGACATTTTAGTCCCAGTTTTAGGATTAAGAAAACACGGTGGCTCACGCCTGTAATCCCAGTACTTTGGGAGGCCGGGTGGATCACAAGGTCAGGAGATTGAGACCATCTTGGCTAATACGGTGAAACCCCATCTTTACTAAAAATACAAAAAAAAAAAAAAAAAAAATTCCGGGCGTGGTGGTGGTCACCTGTAGTCCTAGCTACCTGGGAGGCTGAGGCAGGAGAATGGCGTGAACCTGGGAGGCGGAGCTTGCAGTGAACTGAGCTCATGCCACTGCACTCCAACCTGGGTAACAGAGTGAAACTCCCATCTCAAAAAAAAAAAAAAAAAAAACAGTTTTGACCCTGAAAGGGTCTCAGGAACCCTAGGGATCCACAGACCACACTTAGAACTGCTGACCTAAAACCTGTGGTCACCTACCTCATTGGATTGTTTAGGGGATTATGTAAAATAGTAAAATTCAAGGAATGGTTCCTGACATATAGTAAGTTATATGGTATAATATAGTAAACGTTATACATTTACTGTACATAGTAAATGTTAACTATTACTACTATTATAAATTGAAATATGTATATATGGGAAGAGAAGAAGGCTAGAGGGGACAGAAAGCCATCTAACATTTATTTAACATATTTTATATGTCATTCATTATTCTAGGTGTTTTACGTTCATCCACATAAAACATACGGTTGTTCAATCCACAAAAGAACCCTGAAAGGAAGTAAATCCTCCATTTTACAGATAAGAAAATAGGCTTAGAGAGATTAAACGTTTTATTCAAGGTCACAGGGCTAAAAGAGTAGCAGAATTCTCAGTCACTTGATTCTGCTTATCAGACACAGGAGTAGGACTTCAGGTTAGGAAGAAGGGACTAGAAGCTGACCAGGAGGGAGATCTACACTCTCAAGTTTAGGACAAAGAGAACTGCCTAAACCCTGCTGGCTTCATGTATTCATTTGAGAAGTGTGGATTTTAAAGTCTCGGCCTTCTCCCTTGTTCCTAAGAGGAAGCCCAAGAAGAGACATTCTGTTTTAGAAAACCACTGTCTGAGGAAGTGAAGGCATTGAATGAGTAGCCTTAGTATCTGACACCCTGAAGCCCATATGGAAGTATAACCATACTCTCAGAGAGGTGCAAGGAAGCATAGATCCCTCTGTTAACCAGCTGTCAGCTGACCTATAACTATCCTAGTGTCATTAACCTACACAAAAACTGGAGGTAATTAAGTATGAATTATTGCTGTTACAATCAAGCCATAATTTACACATCCAAATGGGTATTTTACTTTTCAAAGCTGTCCTCCTGGGGGTCTGTGTATTTAACTCTGCTGCTTCACTTAAAATGGACATGGAAATTCTCTTTCAGAATTGCATCTTCTTCCTTTCAACATAGTTTCAAATTTTAGAAGCAGCCACAAGTCGTTTGAATTCAAATATGATACCTAATTTGATTTAAGAATAGAACATAATTGGCTAATCTCAAATGTTAGGTTTTTGGAAAGAATTTAGTCAGTTCAGAATAAAACATGTTTTTCGCTTTTTGGTGTTGTTGAGCACCTGTTTATTCAGGCATTGTTACAGCTGCTTGGTCCTTAAGAATTTATGTGAAGACCATTTTCAAACTGGAGTTCCTAAAATGCTTTGATTAAGGGGAGCATCAGATTGAAATGAATGTACAGCATTGAAGGACATTGTATTGAGATGTCTAAGCCCGTGTATATTTGTAAAATTCTTACCACATTATAGTAACCTTGCATGTAACTTACTAGAATCCACAACTAAATCAATTCATATACAAAGTGAACATTTCTGAGTGTCAGGCACTATGGCAGATAGCAAAAATACAAAACCTAAACTGAAGGAGACATAAAGTCATGGAGCACAGGCAAATCCATCTAACTAGGAACATATGAATGATTTAACAGGAAGGCACTATCTATTCTGTTACAGCCAAATCTTACTTTGGGTTTTTATTTTTAAACATCTAATTTGAGAATAGATGTATATTTACCACATGCATTGTTCTGGAAACTTAAAAAAGTTATATCCAGAGTAGAAGGTGTTCCAGCACAGTCTCTGAGGGTGGAGCAGAACCAGCCATCAATCCTTTTTTCCACCCTCTGGGAGGTGGAATGTCTGTCTACACTGGGGGTTCAGTGGACCTAAGTTCTCGGTGAGGTACAACTTTGCCATACAGTACTGTTTATTTCTATTTGATTTGGATTTTAGAATATGAAGTGGCATCTGAATTGCTAGAATTTAGTAGTTTCTAGCGTAGGAAAGAAAATCCACACGAGATCCTGCAAGCCAGATGATGCCCAATGTATCTAATTGCTAAACAAAGCAAAAGGCAGCAGCTTTGAACTATTAAAATACAGAATGTTTAAGTTACAAAATCCTACACACATTCAAACTGGGCAACAAGAGAGTCCTGTGATTAGCTCTACTCTCAGAGCCAGAGTCTGCAAGAGTAAGAAATGCTTCAGGAAGTCCCACCAGGCAGGGCTGAGGCCAAGGCCAATACCAGTTCTGAAGGCTGTCACTCCTTTCCAAGGGGTAGACCTTAGTAAAACAGTCACCCCATTGGTAGCGGAGCTGGAACTCAAACCCAGCCCACATTGAGCTTGAGGCGGGGGGATATTCTGTTCTACATGACATAAACAAGTATTGTCCCCAAGGGAGTCAGAACCCTGAATAAACAGAAAGAAGGGAAGGTCACTGACCTTACTTTGGGTTTCTCACTTCACGGCAAGAGACATACCATATATCTAGTATAGGACAACACAGGTATACGCAAAGCTTTAGTGCAGCTACACAAGGCTTGACCCGATATGCTGACACAAACCCCACAGAGGCCGGCAGGAGCTGGTAGAGCTGCTTAGCTTCCTCAGCGCTGTGGCGAAACACAGGCTGCCTTGCCCCACAGAGCATCTGGAAAGAAGATGTATGAGAGCGACCACATCAGGCAGTAAAAAGCAGACAGAGACAGTGGGGAGAAAAACAGCATGATGACACCTGGAAGAAGAAAAAGTGCAGACACTCAATTTCTAGAAAGCTGTCTTCTATGCTTTCTACCCTCTGCTCTCCCGTCCCCACCCTCCCATTCTTTATTTTTCACCCACAGTGCCTAAGAAACAAAAAGAGACAGGAGCCCTGTCTTCAAGTTCAGTTTAATAGAGATAGGTAAGTAACTAGAGAAGTATAGCCCAATGCAGTCTCAGGTTCCATTGTGTCAAATTCACATCAGAAGTTCCAGCCAAGAATAAATCTGAATTGCCTTGGTTAGGGAAAACAAAACAAAACAAGATAAAAACCGAAAAACTCTTGTCAGGAAAAAAAAACTTCCTCATTGTTTGAAATTTAACATGTGATAATGACCAGTGCAATATGGTATGTATGCAGAAAAGAGTTTACATGCAGGCCCGAGACTGCTATCCTCAGAAAGGCCTTCTTGCAAGGCTGGCCCTTGGCTGATGGCTGGAAACTTGAATAGTAAACAGTTCCCCAGACCAACATAAAACTTTCCCCAACTGATAAGAGTGTCTCACTGTTCCTGGACTGTCCATATAAGCACAGTGGTAACACCTGCTTTCCTTCTGGGAGTCTGGAATTTTCATATGTGGTAGGCACAGGGTGCTGACGTGACCATCCCCCAGTAAAATCTTGGGCAGTGAGTCTCTGATCAGTTTCCCTGGTAGACAACACTTTATTGTATTATCACAATTCAGTGCTGAGGAATTAAGTGCATCTCGTGTGACTCTACTGGGAGCGGACTCTCTGAAGCTTGCACCTGGTTTCCCCTGAACTTTGTCCCATGCACCTTTTCCCTTTGCTGAGTTTGCTTTGTATCCTTTTGCGGAAATCAATCTTAGCCATGAGTACAACAACAAGCTGAGTCCTGTGAGTCTTCTCAGAGGTGGTCTTGGGGACTCCCAACACAATTTGCCTCTCAGATTCGCCACCAAAAGACAAAAGAGCACTCATGTTTGTGGAATATCTATTTTGCACTAGACATTCTGCTAGATACGTATATTTTTTTCATTTACACTTCACAATAATCCCATGGTTTAGAACTAAGTCTGTTTTTCATAAGAAGAAACAGAAGTAACCCATGCAAGGTCCTGATTCAAACCCACTTCTGTTTGACTCTTAAAAACTAGACACACTGCCTCAGGGAGCTCAAAAAGAGGACAAAGAGAGTATGAGCCAATGGTATTTCCATGGGAATGATCACCATGTATCCTGTAAGAGAAATCAGAACATATGATCTGATAGAAGGCCGCTTCTAGGAGTAAGAAGCAGTTAACGATACGCATGGGCATTTTGGAATACTGCATTTCAAGAATAGTCATTGATCTGTTGAGGCAAAAAGACAATCGTGAAAACCAGAGTTGTCTTGGAAAGTACCTGCCCAGTGCATTGGCTCATGCCTGTAATCTCAGCACTTTGGGCGGCCAAGGCAGGAGGATTGCTTGAGTCCAGGAATTTGAGATCAGCCTGGACAAAAGAGTGAGACCCCGTCTCTACCGTATATATATGATACTGGGGTACTCTCTGTAAAAAAAAAAAAAAAAAAAAAAAGTATATCCTAAGGTCTCAGAGTGCTGGTCACAGGCCAGTTCTCAGACGTACGAAGCTCTGTGGGGTAGAAGGGACCTCAGTCTAAGAAGGCGACTGGCTGCACTCCAAATAAAAGGAATGTCCACAGCAGCCATTTTGAAATCTACCCAGTAGGGCTCTGGTATTAACTGTTGTCAAAATCTGTAAGGTGCAGTTTCCTCCTTTACTCACACAGCAGGACAATCTGAGGAAGGCTGAGGCCAAGTATGTGGTTTACTTTGAGACAAGGGGGATCAGTAGTATCCACAGGAGTGAAGAACACTAAGAAATACTACTGTTATGAGATAGGAGAAGGGGAGGTGGAGGAGAAGAACGAGGCTAGAAATGGACACATCTGTACCAAAGGATTTATATTTATTATCTCATTTAATCTCAGTAATCCTGCAAAGTAGGGATTAGTGGCTTCGTTTTACAGATGAAGAAAATTGAGCTCAAAACAGTGAGGTATTAGCCCAAGTTCATACAACTAATATGTGCTAGAGTTAGAGCTTGGGCTCAGGTCTTCCTGAGAAGCTTCCAAACCCAGAAGCTTCTCACCACTGTTCTGCCTCTGCCACCTAAGGCATAGGAGGAGCCAGCTCCTGGAACTTGGATAGGGCTGTTGGTGCTAATGTTACAAAAGGTATAAACCTTAAGAGAAAGGTCAGGATGAAACCGAAGACCCTATAAACTAGAGTGGACTCACACGGGAATAAAGGAAGGAACTCTGTATCCCCATAGATGTTTGTCTTGTTTACAGGAGCACATTTTAAGAGAAGAAAAGCTGATATTCCTTGAAGGAAGCCCTAAATCAGGGGAAGCTCTAGGGAGACTTCTGCAAGGTGCCAGTGTGACCAGGAACTCAGGGCCTGGAACCCAGTGCTCAGTTACTTCAACCCCAACCCTAAGAGTCATCCATGTCTCCTCCTCCTTCCTCAATGTCAATTCTATTTCCAACATTTATCTCAAATCCATTCACTTCTCTTTATCTCCACTGCCACCATCACCTCTCATCTGAACAAAAAGTTTGTTTTCCTACTTACATTCTCAGGCCTACAATCTATTCTCCACATTGCAGTCAAAGGGATCATTGAAAACTGCTGCTCCAGCCATGCCAGTTCCCTGCATAAATCCCTTTAGAAGCTCCTCATTTGCCTTTGGTCTTAAATCCCAAATCCTGCCAGGTCTGCTCACCTCATGGCCTCAGTCTTTGTCACTGGCTATCTCAGCAAGTTTCAGCCACATTGCTCCACTAATGTGTCCAGCCCCTGTGGCCTCAAAGCCATCACAACTGTTCCTCTTCCAGAACCTCCTGAACCTCCCCATCCCCACCTGGCCACTCCTCTTGTAGGTCTCACTTAAATGACACCTGCTTAAGGATCCTTTCCTTCCCTTCAGATCATCCCAGCCTGAAGTAGGTCACCCTCTGACACTCTCTCAGAGCACCATGCACTTGCGTAATACATACAGTAAAACTCTATGTTTCTAGTTATTTCTGCCATCATTTGTTTGGTATCTGTCTCCCCTGTGATCAGGCTCTAGATTCAGAGGCAGGGACTGTTTGCCTAGTTTACCAATTTGATTTCCAGTACCTGGCACACGGGGGGTGCTTCCTAAATCTCTTTTGAACTTATTAACATTTAGCAAATAGATACTGAGCACCTACCATGTGATTGACACACTTCTAGGCACTGGGGATTATATTAATAGCATGAATAAAAGAGAGTCCTCTATTGGGGGGTTGGTTTAGTGTTTATAGACAATAAGAAAACTAGTAAGTATGTCAGATGATCATCAGTTCTATGGGGAAAAATAAAGCCGAACAAGGGAGATAGAAAAATGCTGGGGTGAGGTACAGTGGCAATAAGCAACAGTGATAACAAACGGGCCATAGTGACATTTTCACTCACCTCCCATATAAACCAATTTTTTCCAGTTCTCAGACTCCAGGATTTTGTCATATGGATAGTAGCTCTGGTCCATCATGAAGAGAATCATGAGTGAGGCCATGCAGCAGAGGATGAACCTGTTGCCTTTGGTCAGAAGAGAGGTGGAAGCCAAGATGCAGGAAGCATAGGGGCAGGGTAGACCCTTGTATGTGGAGGGGACTCCTGCCGGGAAGAACACTGGAGATTAGCTGCTTCCCTCTGCTCTAAAGATACCAAAATGAAGCAGGCCCCTCTCTCTTTGGGTATTCCCCTACCCAGGATACAATATTCCCTTAAACCCAAAGGCAGTGGCAGGCTGAAAATCATTTATTCACAAAGATGATGCATGGGTTTTACATTGGGTTTCCAAGGGAAAGCAGACAGCCAGCTAGGACCAGGGTGTGCCCTGGCCCCTAGGAAGTCTCTGCTTTGAGACCTGCTAGTCTAAGTCCTGTGCTGTATCTGCTCTCCCTCACTTTGTGACCTTAGGCAAGATAATTTCTCTCACTGGAGCATGGTTTCTCCATCTGTTTTCAGGAACTAGAATATACCTCCAGTTCTAGTCCAAGAATCAGTGTGCTCCATCCAAATGTCACAGGTCATGCATTGAGAAAGAGGTACAGCTGCTCCAAGAAACAAAAGCCCTTGCCTCCCAGCCCAGGGCTCTGCCAATGCAGCCTGCAGCCTTCAATGAGCATGAGGCATGGGGCATGCAAGGAGGAAGGAAGAGGAGCTCCAAAAAAGGAGTCAGTAACTGCACCCCAGGCTTCTGGCATCTGACAGATGCCAGTTCTGTGCTCCCCTGCCCTCTGTTCTAAGGCAACCTTGGTTCCACTCACCAGGTGAATAAAAGCACAAGTGGAAAGAAGCAGCTGACACATAGATGATGGCCAGGATCCCACTCAGAAGTCCATCCATGCCTAGGAGCAGAGCAGAGGCCAGGCCGAAGGTGGTGAAGACGGCAAAGTCATTCAGCTCAGCTCCTGCCCCAGAGGGCCCAAAGTTAGAAGAACTTATACTCCCATGTCTTGCACCTTAGTCCCCCTCTAGTAGGGGAGCTGGGGTAGTGACAAGAGGGGTCCTGAGGTCCCAGAAAGCAACAGCTGCTCCCCTGGGGGGCAGTCTGTAGATCAAAGACCAGGATTTCCTCCTGGCTCTGCCTTGTGCTGGCCAGTGGCCCTGGGCAAGTATTTCCCTCTCAGATCTTAGTTTTCCTATCCTTTAACATGCAAGGGTTGGGCTACAATCAGATACAAACTGATAAGCTATGGGACTGTTTTCAAGCTAAATCTTACATGGAAGCATTTTACTGTATTTTAAACCAGCTGCTCTGCTGGTTTAATTTTCATCTCCTCTCTGCCAACCTCCTCTCACCCCACCCCTACCCACTTCCACTCCAATACCTGGATGGGTCCAGAACAGGGAAGCAGGGCAGATGAGAAAACTGAAAGCCAGGACAAGGACTGCCCAAAGGTCAGTAAGGGAGCCAGCAGAGGAGCTGGAGCTGGACTGCGGGGCTCTCGAACTCCTGCTCCAGGGCTGCTGCTGCTGCTCTCGGGGGGGTGTGAACAGGGGTGGATGCCTGAGGAAGGCCTGCGGGATGTTAGAGGATGGACGAAGGGGTGACCCCAGATGGATGCTACTGGGGACAAGGATTAGGGGCCTGGGGCCTGAACTCACCCCATTTGGAGCAGATGTTGATGTGGCTGGTCATTGCCCTGACTGCCATGTCCAACAGGAAGCTGACCAGGAGCATCCAGGAGGCATAGTGGCGTTTCCTAAAGTGCAGGCCAGCAAGCCCGAATGGGGAAGCACTTTCGCAGTCTCCACTGGAGACTCTCCCCCACCCCCCATTAGTATATTAGTATACACTAATATACTTCCTACATACCTCCCACACTTGCACACACACACACATCCCTTCATGTCCCCCACACTCACATCCTTTCTGATATATGCTGCTTTTCACACCACACATGCACACATACACGCCTACATCCCTCACAAACTCAATCTACAGTCTTAAAGAGGTGCCCCAAACCCCCTAGAACATCACTGAGATCCCTTCCAACTCTAACTTCCAGGCATTTTTGATGGCACAGGGGACCTAGGTTCTAGCCCAGCCTCTGCCACCATCTCTCTATGAATTATTAGCTAAATCACTACCCCATCTCTAGGCTTGTTCCCCCATCTGTAAAATGAGGAGTGTGTGCTAAATGATTTGTTTAATAGATACAAACCTATTCAGATGACCTGTTTCTCCTTGTGTGAGTTTTGGTAACTTATGTCTTTTTTTTTTTTTTTTTTTTTGAGACAGAGTCTAGCTCTGTTGCCCAGCCTGGATGCAGGGGTGCGATCTCGGCTCACTGCAAGCTCTGCATCCAGGGTTCACGCCATTCTCTTGCCTCAGCCTCCCAAATAGCTGGGACTACAGGTGCCCGCCACCACGCCCGGCTAATTTTTTTGTATTTTTAGTAGAGACAGGGTTTCACCATGTTAGTCAGGATGGCCTCGATCTCCTGACCTCATGATCCACCCGCCTCGGTCTCCTAAAGTGCTGCGATTACAGGCGTGAGCCACTGCGCCTGGCAACTTATGTCTTTTAAGGGATTGATTATTTTCAGCTACGATATCAAATTTGTGGGCAGAGGCTTGTTCATAGCATTCCTTTATTATACTTTTAATGTCTGTGGAATCAGTAGTAATGACCCTTGTTTTATTTCTGATATTGGTAATTTCTGTCTTTTCATTTTTTTAACTTGGTTAGCTTGGCTAGAGGTTTATCGATTTTATTGATCTCAAAGAACCAGCTTTTGGTTTCATTGATTTTTCTCTATTAATTTCTTGTTTTCAATTTCTTTGATTGCCACTCTAATTTTTATTTTATTTTTTGAGATGGAGTCCCTCTGCTGCCCAGGCTGGAATGCAGTGGTGCGATCTCCGCTCACTGCAACCTCTGCCTCCCAGGTTCGAGTGATTCTCCTGCCTCAGCCTCCCAAGTAGCTGGGATTACAGGTATGTGCCACCACACCCGGCTAATTTTTGTATTTTTAGTAGAGATGGTGTTTCACCATGTTGGCCAGGCTGGTCTTGAACTCCTGACCTCAAGTCATCCACCTGCTTCAGCTTCCCAAAGTGCTGGAACTACAGGCATGAGCCACTGCACCCGGCCTAATTTTTACTTTTTACTTTTTATGCTTACTTTGGATTTGCTTTTCTTTTTCTAGTTTCCTAAGGTTAAAGCTTAAATTATGGATTTTAAATCTTTCTTTTTTGAATATATGCATTCAATGAAATAAATTTCCCTCAAAGCAAAGCACTGCTTTCCCTGCATCCTATAAGTTTTGATAAATCGTGTTTTCATTTTTTTAGTTCAAAACATTTTTAATGTTTCGTGAGACTTCTTCTTTTATCCATGTGTCATTTAGAAGTGTGTTGTTTAATCTTCATATATTTCAGGATTTTTCAGCTGTCTTTCTGTTACTGACTTCTAGTTCATTTCCATGTGGGCTGAGAGTATGCTTCTTTTAAATTTGTTAAGGTATGTTTTATGGCCCAGAATGTGATCTGTCCAAGTGAGCTGGAGAAGAATGTGTACTCTGCATGGTTGGATGAAGTACTCTATAGATGTCCATTTTATCCAGGTGACCAATGGTGTTGCTGACTTCAACTATGTCTTTGCTGATTTTCTGCCTGCTGGATCTGTCAGTTTCTGATAGAGGGGTGTGGAAATCTCCAACCTTGATAGTGGACCCATCAACTGTCCTTGCAGTTCTATTAGTTTTTGTCTCATGTCTTTTGATGCTTTAAATTATTTCCATGAGCTCTTTCAGATCCCACATTCTTGATTCTGTGCCTCCATCCAGCACCTGTCCGCAGGTCCCTCTAAAAGCTGCCACCACAGCTCCAAGCAAACCTGCCCTGAGAGGCCCATTCTCAAGTCTGCACCCGGATTGCAATGCTTAGGCAGCCCAGGAGAAGCAAAGGGCCTGACCTAGACCTCAGCTGTCTCCAAACAACCACAGCATTTCCTTTGTTTAGACCCAGTCCTATGTATCTAAAGGGGACTGAAGCTAAATAAAAATACTCAGGGCACCATTATGGCAAAAAAACAACACTCCCAGATAATTAGGCTGAACTAAGAAGATAGAAGTTTTCTGGGCTGGGCACAGTGGCTCACGTTTGTAATCCCAGCACTTTGGGAGGCCTAGGCAGGTGGATCACTTGAGCCCAGGTGTTTGAGACCAGCCTGGGCAATATAGTGAGACCTCATCTCTAAAAAAAAAAAAAAAAGTTTCTTTAAAAAAGAGATTTTCTGCTGTAGGTGTGCCCTACTTTATTATACTCGAAAAACCAAGATTTTAGAGAATCACAAAAATTTCCAGCTGCAAGGGAGCTTAAACATCATCAGGTAAAGTCATCTTATCTTATGGATGAGAAACAAATCCAAAGAGAAGTCACTTGCTGATGGTTATAGACAATCGAGTAGATTAGGAGGACGTTACCTGCATCATAAAGGATTTATCTTTAAAGGACTGATATCCCGAAAACATCGAAATGGGATTCAACTTACAGAAATAGAATTTGCTTACAACGTTTTAGGGGAACATATGCATGTCTCGGACCTTCCAGAACAGTGCTAATTTCAAATAGTCTGCCAGGTCGTATGATCTAAGAATTAGAAAATATGAACTGTGGCCTACCCAAAGATTGTATAAAGGCCACCAGAACAGAATCTCTTGACTTTCTCATAAAAACCATTCTAGACTGCCACAGCTGGAATGAACTGGTACAGTTGAGTCTGGGATCTTGGCCCTTTGACTCCTAAGCCACTGCACTTTCCCCGGGTACACTGTGGATTCCTGTGCCTCAGTGCCTGCTCTCTAGACTCTCCCTCTCCTTCCCTCATGCCATTGGCTCCAGCTCTTGGCTAAGAGCTTGCTGGGCCCCAGACCTACCTGCTGAAGCTGAAGATGATGGAGAAGAGCCCCAGGACCATGTTGGCCAGAGATAAGGCATTGGTAACATCCTTCCAGGAAACCTCATTTATCTGGGAATGGCTCTGGTCATGGCTCAGGAAGAAACTGGTACCCTTACCTGGGGCCCAAGAGAGAGGGGCAAAGGGTTCCCAAGGTCAAGGAGTCCCAGAAGAGGCTCCCAGGGACCTGTTCCACTAGACCTCATCCCAAAATGGCACCCTCCCTACATTCAGTTTCACTGGCTGGACTAGACTAAGGGAGACAGGAGGTAGATGAAGGAGACTCAGGAGGTGAAGACAAAGGTGCTGAGGATCCAGCGTCTTGGAAAAGCTCAATAGCAGAGTGGGTGAACCAACACAAGCATAGTTTCCACTCCCTCTCTGGCTGCACCTTTGCCCTGCAGCACAGACATCCCTCCAGTCCATATGCCGACCATCCTGGAGCCCCATGGCCCAGAATGCAGGGGATATGGGCCCTTCTCCCATCTGAGAGGTGGGCCCTTGTCACTGACCAAGGGTTGGCCTGAGAGAGAAGAAGTGCCAGGAAGCCCTGTTGTCCCACAGTCCAAGCTCACTCCTCCTGAAGCACAGGGCTGCAGCTGAGGTGCCTTAAGGTCCTGGTTCTGACAGGCCCCAATCAGAACAGCAGGCCTACTTCCCACAAGGGAAGAGATGACAGATTAAAAATGAATGTGTAGCCGGACACGGTGGCTCATGCCTGTAATCCCAGCACTTTGGGAGGCCAAGGCAGGTGGATCACCTGAGGCCAGAAATTCGAGACCAGCCTGGCCAACATGTTGAAACCCCGTCTCTACTAAAAATACAAAAATTAGCTGAGTATGGTGGTGCATGCCTGTAATTCCAGCTACTCAGGAGGCTGAGGCAGGAGAATCGCTTGAACCTGGGAGGCAGAGGTTGCAGTGAGCCGAGATTATGCCATTGCACTCCAGCCTGGGCAACAGAGCAAGACTCTGTCTCAAAAAAAAAAAAAAAAAAAGAATGTGTACAACACTGAATAGTTCACAAAGATCGTTTCACCATGTTCTCATTCCCGTGTCTCCTTCTCAGAGCCTGACAACCTCAGGAGATGGTGCTAGAATTCTCCCTTATTTTATGAATGAGGAAACTACGGTTAAAAGAAAGGAAGGTATTTGCTCAAAGTCACACAGTAAGTAGAACCAAATCCCATCTGATTCTAAATCTGGTGTTTCTTCTGCTGGAAGCATAGATTTTAGCAGGAGGAGGTATATGGGATGTGGCAGTGAGGGAGCTCGATGGCCAGGTCTGCGAGACAGCAGCAGCCTCCCTGTGTGTGCGGCACCGTCCAGCCTAGGTCCCACAGCGCTCCCAGTCTCTCCCAGTCTCTCCCACAACAGGGAATTGGCTGGCCCTGCCCATCTTCACAGCCTGTCTTATCTCTGCTTTTACTCTAAGACCACATTTGTACACCTTACACATAATCTGCTTGTGCAACTGAGTCTCTTGGAGAAAGAGCCCCATTCCTCCTCAAAACTGAGAAGCCCCACTGGTTGGGGCAAATGTATCAGCCACAAATAGATCCTGCACTTGAGTAAAATAAACAAGCTTCAAGGTGTTCCCAGATCTGTCTTCTCATTTAATCCTCACCCATTTCAGAGGTGAGGATTAATCTCACCTCCAGCTCTGCCTCCATCCAGCCCCTCTGTTCAGCCCCAGGCCCATCTGGTCTGGACAAGAGCTGAGACAAACCGTGGTCCTTTCTCATTAACCTGCCACAAAGATGCCAGCAGCTGGGAGGGCTGACTTGGAGTTTGGGACTAGAGTTTATCAGGACAGCACTGCTGGGCTCACTGCCTCAGTGGGCCAGCCTCACTCACCAAAGGGGATCAGTAGCTACGTGGCCACAGCCATTGGGATTCCTAAGACCTTCTTATGCCAGAGTCCCTCCAAACCTACGACAGGAAGCAATGCAAGCCAGGGAAATCTGGGAGGGGAAGGGGACAAAGGACTTGCTGCATACTCCCTCCCTGTGAACCTGCTGTAGTGGTCTCTCCTGGGTCTCTGGGCTGACCCCAGCAAGATCAAACATCCCAGTGTCTGCTGCTCAGAGTCAGCAGGTGCCCAGGGTCTGTCTACCAGCTGTCAAGCATTGCTGCTGCCTCTGTGCTACTTCACAGCTGGTTAATTTTTAATTAATGGTCAATTGTCTACTATATTATCTCTTTCGTTATCTCCTCCATTCACAAACCACTTTCACATTTAGGATTTCCACTGGCCCTGTGAGCACTGTCAGGCAAGGGTTCTAATCCCTACTTTCCAGGTAAAGCAAGGAAGACTCAAGAGATGGGAACAACCTAGCTCAAGGTCACACCAGAAGTGGCAGAACAAAACTTACAATTTTGCCTTAAGTGTTCTTTCCCCTGTGCTCTGCTGTCTACCAACCAATAGGACTGAGCATTGTATTGGTTATATGCTGTGCCTGAGTTGGGTGCTGGTAGAAACCTTGGTCCCTGCCATCACAGAGTTTACAACCTATCCAAGGAAACGAGTCTTTTGCATACATGTGGAGACTTAGACTCTATTCATAGTGGTACCTTATCTTACAGATGGGGAAACTGAGGTTTCAGGAGAGTTAAGTGACTTGTCCAGTAAATGGTGGAGCCAGGATTTGATTTGGGTCTCCTCTTTCCCAATTAAATGCTGTTTGCAGCAGAATGCACAAGTCCCAGGCGTGAAAGGATGTGGAACTGAGAATAAGGGCTATAGAAGACAACAGAAATAAGAAGCCACCCGCCATTCATTCAGCAAATGTTTGGCCAGGGGCAAGATGTGGTGCCTGGTGCTTGGGACACAGAGAAGATTAAGACCAAGGGACACAGTTTAGCCACAGTACCTAACTCTGCACAGAAAAGAGGCGACCAGGCTACTAAGGGAGCACCGAAAAGGGGCTCAGCCTGCCAGGAGGTGAGAAGGCTCCCAGGAGGGGTGAGGGCTGAGGCTTGGCATAGCACCAGACTGCAGGTGATCTGGTCACTCCCCAGCTTTTTGAATGCCCTCAGGATGGAGTCCAACTCCTGTGTTTGGTATGCCAGCTCTGCTCAGCTCTCCCAGCTTCCTCTCAGTCCTCCCCACCCTTCTCAGACCCTCTCTTTGGCCTTGGGTTGGGTAGTGCTCCTCTTTGGGAAGCCCCTCTGACATCCCCCACCCCGCCCCGAGCATGTTAGGTGTCCCTCATCTGTATGGTTTCATCTTCTTGTGCTTACCATGTGATACTTGGCACTCTGTTTTGGCAGTGTTTTGGCACCGCCTACCCTGGGGTTCCTATAGGGGATGCAATTTGAGTGCTGGCCGAGGTCCCTGTGCCCAGTATGAGGCCTGACAATAGAAGTTGTTCTGTGTTTGTTAAATTAACATCACAGGTCACTCTGGTGCTTCCCTGAGGCCCTCTGGTTGCACCAAATTTATTGACCCCCCATCTAACCCTGCCCAATGTGGCCTCCAAGAAGCCTTCTCAGATGAACGCCCAACAGTCCAGCCCCTTCCACATACCCAGCAACTACCCAGTTCTTATGATCTTCTACTTACTCATTTTTAAAATGCTGTTTATTTATTGCTGATGGCTGCTCTGTGTCAGGCCTTGTGTCGGGGGGGATGGGGAGAAGAACAAGAGCCAGGCTGCACCCTCCAGCAACTCAGAGTCTGGTAGAGGAGGCAGCTGTGTGTTGGGACAAGTGTAATGTTGGACAAGGGGATGTGCCAGCTGTTGTGGAGAGACTAAGTCTGGGGTGGGGCAGAGGAAGGTTCCACTCCTGTGGTGACATTTTTCAGGGTCTCTAAGGATGAACAAAGAATTAGGAGGGGCATTCTTGGCCCAGGGTATGAGCCGCAGGTGCGGAAGCACGATGAGGAGGCTGGATCCCTGGATCCTGGAAGAGAGGGGTGACCAGAGGTAATACTGGCAGGTAGGCTGCAGGGGGTGGTCGTGCGGACGTGACCTTGAGTGGCAGCCCGTGGCGGGCACTGTGCTGTTCAGTAAGGGAGCAGAGTCTTGGTCAGACACGGGCAGGGAGCGCAGGGCGGCTTTGAGGGGACAAACTACAGAAAAGGAAACCGGCCAGGAGACGGGAGGGGGTGAAGGGGGGAGAGGGGCGGGGCGGGGGGAGCGTGGACGTGAGGAGGAGAAAAGCAGGGCTGTGACAGTGGGGCTGGAGAGGAGGGGAGAGTTGAGTATGGCTCTGAGGTTTCTGAGTGGTGGGGCGGCGCCTCCGCGGAGTGAAATCATCCAGGCGGACTCTCCAGCAGGTGACACGCGTGGCAGACACGGCAACGCCGCTCATGCCAGTTCCAGACCCTCTCCCCTCCCAGCCCCCGCTCCTTTCCTGGAGGCTGGAAACCGTCCCCGGCCTCTGGGGACGGGACGTGGTCCCCTGGCCCACTCTGGCTGTCCCAAGGCTGCCCAGGCCTGGCTCCAGCCGCTACCACACCGGGAAGATGGAGCTGGGCTGCTCGCCAACAGCACCCGGGCAGCGGCGCTTCTTGTCCCTTCCACGCGGCCGCGGAGGCTCACCTGGGGGCTCACCCTGGGGACAAGGCATTCCTACATGAGATGGGGGTCCGCCCTCCTGCCCCGTTTCCTGTGCAGTGCAGGGGACCAGCCCTGAAGAGGAGAGCCTCTTGCTCCCACCCTGGCTCTTAGCTCACAATCCCCAGAGCAGGGGAGGGGTTGCGGGTCTGTAGTCAGGGAGAAGGGCCTCAGTTTCCAGGGGAGCCCAGGTCTTGTAGTAGGGGCGGCGGGGAATGGAGGAGTCCCGGGGGAGGGGACGTCTTCTCTACCTGAGTGAGGCTGGGAAGGCTTCATGGTGGAGACAGCGGCCCCGGCGCGTGGGCCTGGAGTGGGGCGGGAAGTGCGCTGGAGAGGCGAGGCTGTGCTGGGATGCTGGGCCCAGCCTCTGCGGGGCCCCTAGAGGGTAAGCTCCACGCGGGCAGGGCTGCTTGTACGTTTGCTTCGCTGCTGTTCGCTGTGCCTATAAGAAGGGCATAGGCACATAGGAATACTATTTGGATGAATGACAAGCTAAGGAATTTGCACTCAATTCCTGAAGAAAAGTTTTTAAGTAGGAAGGTGACATGGTCAGGTTGTTTCAGGAAGACTAACCTGGCAGCCATTGCGGAGGAAGGATCTGCAATCCTGCGGGCCAGGAGGCAGATGAGCAACAGACGGGATGGGAAGAAGGAGCCCCCTCAGGAGCCCGTGTGAGATGGACTCCCAGGGGTGAGAGCGGCGAGAGGGAGGGCGTAAGAGCTTCTCAGAGGTGACTATCTTTGGCAGTTAGGCTGACAGAGTGTTACACAAAGAAACTTTTTGGTATTGGGTAAGGATTTCAGGCACCAGTTCTCAGATACGGCCCCATCCTCACCAGCCCACCGGAAGCAACAATAGAGCAGGGATCACTGTGAGGACCCCACAGGAGAATATAAAAGGGCAAGGGAGCTAGGAGGTCAAGTGACACTTTGCCTCTCCTTGCAGCCAGCCCGGGAAAGAGGAGTGTAAGACCGAGCATGTTCTGAGGGGAACACCAGGCAGCAAGTACTGGGCTACATGTTGTACAGACATTCTCATCATCTCACTGGAACTTGCCCGCTACCCTGAGGTTAGTGTTAGCATTCCCATCCTACAGAAGAGGAAATAGGGGATCAGACAGCTGATTCTACTGGAGAATACACCATTAATAATTAGTGGAGCCGAGACCTGAAAACAGCGATACCAAAGTCAGACCTAGGGTGTGTGAGAAACCGGGTGGAGGCGACAAAAGGTGTGCTACACACCCCAGCCTGAGTCAGGCCAGCTTCCTTTGATCATCTATGTGTTTCTCTTCATTGCTCCCTGCCATGTGGCCCACTAAAGTGGCAAATTAGCCTGGCGCGGTGGCTCACACCTATAATCCCAGCACTTTGGGAGGCTGAGGCAGGCAGATCACGAGATCAGATCAAGACCATCCTAGCCAACATGGTGAAACCCCCCCTCTACTAGAAATTAAAAAAAAAAAAAATTAGCCAGGCATGGTGGTGCATGCCTGTAGTCCCAGCTACTTGGGAGGCTGAGGCAGGAGAATTGCTTGAACCCAGGAGGCGGAGGCTGCAGTGAGCCGAGATTGCATCACTGCACTCTAGCCTGGGCGACAAAGCGAGATTCCATCTCGAAAAAAAAAAAAAAAGAGTGGCAAATTAAAAATTGTAGCATAATGATTATACCAGCTTACCTTTAAACCAAGTTTACATTCCAGCGCTAACACTTACCAGATGTATAAATGTGAACAAGTTACTTTTTCTGAACCTGTTTCCTAATCTGTAAAATGGGATTGTTGTCAGAATTAAATGAGATTATATGCTTGGCACAGAGTAGAAGCTCAATTATTAGCATTATTAATCTAAGGATATGATCATATATCTATTAGCCTGGACATCCCCAAAGTTTCCTTCAGGAGAGGGGAAGGAAGCAGGGTAGCTGAGAAAGATACCCCCTACCAGAAGTTTCTAGCTTTCCTCATTCTGGATCTCACAGGAAGTACAGAACAGGAACAGTAAGTTAGGCTACTTACACTTGTGCTAATACGGTAGCCAGCAGCCACAAGTGGCTACTGAACACTTGAAAGGTGGCTAGTCCGAATTGAGATGTGCTGTAAGTATAAAATACACACCAAAGTTTGAATACTTAGTTTAAAAAAGAATGTAAAATAATTTTTTTTAGTAAATTGTTGAAATGCTAATAGTTTGGATATGCTGGGTTAGATAAAATATATTTTATTTATTTATTGAGACAGGGTCTCACTCTGTCACTCAGGTTGGAATGCAGTGACATGATCATAGCTCAAAGCAGCCTTGACCTTCTGGGCTCAAGCAATCCTCCCACCTCAGCCTCCCAAGAAGCTGGGACCACAGGTACATGCCACCATGCCTGGCTAATGTTTGTATTTTTTGTAGAGATGAGATCTCCCTATGTTGGCCAGGCTGGTCTTGAACTCTTAGGCTCAAGCGATCCTCCTGCCTCAGAGTCCCAAACTGCTGATATTATAGGCATGAGCCACTGCACCCTGTGATAAAATGTATTCTTAAAGTTAATTTCACTTTTTACTTTTTCATGTAGCTACTGGAAAAATTTAGATCACACATGTGGCTCACATTATACTTCTATTAACTGCATTGACTTGGATCCTTTGCAGGATATAGGTACAGAGCTACAGATGTCCATCCATTGATTTGATTTATTCTTTTTTTTTTTGAGGTGGAGTCTCACTGTGTCGCCCAGGCTGGAGTGCAGTGGTGCAATCTTGGCTCATTGCAACCTCCGCCTCCCAGGTTCAAGCAATTCTTGTACCTCAGCCTCCTGAGTAGCCAGCATTACAGGTGCCCGCCACTACACTTGACTAATTTTTATATTTTTAGTAGAGATGGGGGTTTCACCATGGTGGCCAGGCTGGTCTCAAACTCCTGACCTCAAGTGATCTGCCTGCCTTGGCCTCCCAAAGTGCTGGGATGACAGGCATGAGCGACCATGCCTGGCCCACTTACTTATTCATTGTTAAGAGTATTTATCATGCGCCAGGCACTATTTTAGATGCTAGAAACAGCAGTAAACAAGACAGACAGTCTCTGTCCTCACAGAACTTATAATCACAGAACTTATAAACAGAAGCAAAACACACATCATTTCTGGTTGTGCTAAGTGCTGTGGAAAACAAAGCAGTATCAGAACCACTTTAATGTGAGAAGGGTTGGTATTTCTGATAGGGTAATCAGGGAAGTGGTATTTCAGCAAGGACCTAAAGGATGAGAAGACACAAACCTGCAAAGATCTTGGAGGCAATGCTCCAAACAGATAAGACAGCAAATGCCAATGAGCAGCAATGAGCTTGGTGTGTGGGAAGAACAGCAAGGTCAGCAAAGCAGGAACATGCTGAGTCCTGAGAGTGGCAGATCACATAGAATCTAGGGAAGAAATGAGAAACTCTGGGATTTTTTTTTTAACAGAGGTGCAATCTGGTTTGTAGTTTTAAAAGATGATGTTGACAATCTCTGTGGAAGCAGGGAGACAAGTTAGGAGATTACTGCATTGTCCAGGCTGGACATGTTGGTGGCTTGGACTAAGGGGGAAAGGGGTGAGGTGAAGAGAAGCAGTCACATTTGGGATACATTTTGAAGGCAGAGCTGGGACTGCTGACTGGTATGAGGAGAACAAGAAGAATCAAGAATGACTTGGGTTCTTGGCTGCTACAACAATGTGAGACAGGTGCTGATAGAGAGAGGCCTGGTGGTGAAACAGGTTTTGGGGATGAACTCAAGAGTTTAGATTTGGACACATTAAATTTGTAATGACTACAAGTCAAGTGGAGACAGCAAGTAAGGCTGTTGGGCAAACAAGTGTGCATGAAACTTGGGGACTGATGAGGGCTGTAGGTATGTATGCGAGTCAGTAGTGTGTGGACAGCATTTAAAGCCTGGGGAATGGATTAGACCACTTAGTAGAGATAAAAAGGAGAGGGCCACAGACTTGGCCTCAGAATGTAGATGTCAGGAAGAGGAGGATCAGGACACAGAAAAGGTACAGTCAGTGAAGTAGAGAAAAGCAGGAGATGATAATATTACAAATCAAAATGAAAAAAAAAGCTTTCAAGTACGGACTGCTCCACTCAATCAAATGCTGTTTAAGACTACAGAAATGAAAATTTTCCAGGCACGTTGTAGCTCCTTCCTCCCAAGCTCCAGCTCCTTAAAGGAATGAATGAACCCTATCTTCTGATGGGGGTTCTATATCCAGGCTTTAATGCCAGAGATATGGGCTCAATTGCTTATAAGTTGTATAAGTTGTATGACCTTAAATAAGTTACTTCTCTATACCTTGATATACATCCTCTACATACCTATCACTAAACGCCCAAGTGAACTACTCCGGTAGTGTCTCACATAAACATCTCATTCTTCTTAAGGCCAGGAATTTGAGACTAGTCTGGGCAACATGGTGAGTCCTCATCTCTATAAAATTTTTTTTTAATTAGCTGGACATATTGGTGCATACCTGTATTTCTAGCTACTTGGGAGGCTAAGGCAGGAGGATCGTTTGAGCCCAGGGGTTCAAGGCTGCAGTAAGCTATGATTGAGCCAGTGCTCTCTAGCCTGAGTAACAGTGAGACTGTCTCAAAAAAAAAAAAAAAAAAAAAACAAACAAAAACAAAAAAACCTTACTTTATCACTTTTGTGATTTAACTTCTTTATACCTCTATACCGAGATCCTTTATGACTGTCTTAATTGGCCCAAACAGGATTAAGGTTATGGTCAGACTCAAACAGGACTGTGTCTGAATCTGACCTCTACCACTTCCCATCTGTATAACCATGGGCCAGTTTCAGAATCTCTGAGATGCTCCTGCTCTGTAAGATAAGAATACTATATACCTCATTGATGGTGGGTTATGTGAAGATTAAAAGAGATAATGGATACACTTAGCAGAATAAAGGCTCACTAGACAGTACTTATCATCTTTGTGTCTGTAACACTAATACTCTTCATGTTTGTGGACTGATAACTTGAGAAAGTAAGATACAAGCCAGCTCTCCTTTCCTCCTTCCAGAGCACTAGGGTGGAGAAAGGGAGCTACAGTCAACTGTTACTCACACCCAGTAACTTTGGAAGGGCCAACTAGGTGGATTATCAATATCACAGAATATCACTGATTATTCTGGAAAATGACAGGGATGTCCTCCTCCTCCTGCAAATTTTGTTGAGTGGATCCCCACTATTCATTGCAGATACTCAAGCCAGAAATGCTTGAATTCAAGCATCATCTAAGAGTCTTTCCTCTCATCCCTCTGACATTTTATTAACAAGATGGCAATTGATTGTACTTTCAATGTGCCATGCTTCATCAAATGTAAGATGCTATCTGTTTTGATCTTTTTATGTAGCTCTAAGAAAGAAAAAATGCCACTTAAACTGTGACATGCCACTGACTTTTAGAAGTGTCCAGGTTTGAGATACCAAAATGTGGGGGGAAAAAGTACACCTTGCAATTGGTGAAATACAGGCCCTCTCATTCTACCACTGCTTAGTTCAGACTCCCATCATCCCTTGCCTTGATTAGGGATGGAAGCTCCTGTCTTCCCTCTACCCAGCCTCTGCTGCCAAAATGATGTTTCTAATGGCCAATATTACCAACCTACCCAAATCCTTCCATTAGTTCTTCTCCCATAGCCCCCGGTCCATATTCTCCTGTTTAACTGGCTGCAATTCCTCACATGTCGTATCACTTCTAGTCAATGTCCCTTCCATGTTATTTTTTGTCTGGAATGTTTTTTCCTTCCCCTCTTCATCTATCTCCTAGCTTTTAGACACAAGGATTTTCTAGCCGGGACATATCTCACTCCACCCCTCCTTGTGGCCAGGACTGCTTTGGTTGATATGGCTTAAATGGATGTCCCTGTCTTCATTCACAAATAAACTCCATCCAAAAATGAACCCTACCCCAACCCCCAAAAGACAAACTTCCTATGAAAGGGCAATTGGAGCCTCCAGAAA